TCCTCGCCCAGGGATCAGGAGGGGCTGGTTCTGTGTCTCAGCATCTTCATTTGTAAAGTAGGATCTTAATTCTGGCTGGGACAACTTTACTAGGTTGTGCTGAGGATCATGAAAGACAGCACAACAGACTAAAAGGCCATGTTATATGAATACAGGGAATGATAGTATTTCGTGCTTAGCAGCCCTTAAACATTAACATTTGACACATTAGCAAACTAAGTCCTAGAGAGGCAATATGACTTGAGGTCACAGTCAGGGGCTAAGTCTGAAAAGGGGGCAGAGGATAGTCATTTTAGGACCAGAAGAAACCTATTCCTTTTCTGCCTGTGTTGGGATTAGAAGGTCTGAATTCTCAGACTTCTGGGTTTATCTTAGTTTTGTTGTGTGAAGCCTCAACCTAGCATCAGGTCAGTAGAGGAATAAGAAAGAAAGACGTTAATCTGGAGAGAAATGAATCTCAAAAGCGGAGAGAAGAGATAGTTGATGAAACAAGAGATACAAATGACCACTAAAAGTATGGAGGAAAAGCTAAATATTTTAGCAATTAAGGAAATACAAAGGAATCCTCAAAATGCCATTTTCACTCACAAAGGTGGCAAATAAAATAAGAATACATACTGTTTGTGTGGCAGGTGTGCTGGGAAACTGACTCTCTCATACATTGCTAGTAGTAGAATAAAATGATATAACTTTTTCTAGGGCAATTTAGAAATATGTATCATAAACACTTTGATCTAATTCCCCCTTCTAGGCAATTATGCCATGGAAAGAATCACAAATATGCACAAGGTTGTTTATTGCACTTTGATTTATAAAAGAAGAACTATAAACATATGTCTAATTGTTAAATTACGGTGTATCTGTTCAGTGGAATACTATACAATGATTATAGCTAACACTTATTAAGTTGTGCATTGTTGCTAAGTTATTTAAATTATTAACTTTAATCATTAGAATAATTCTGTGAGGATGCTATTATTATTTATCTCCATTTTACAGATGAGGACTGAGGCTCAGAAAGGCTAACTTGTCCTGGGCCACACTGCTAATAGGTTGAACAGTGTGGATTTGACTGTAGGTCTGTCTGATGCCAGGGCCCATGGCCTCAATCACAGTGCTGTACTTCCTATGCGGCTGCCAAAAATCATGTTTTAGGCTGGCCTGGTGGCTCAAACCTGTAATATCAGCACTTTGGGAGTCTGAGACAAGCGGATCACTTGAGCTCAGGAGTTTGAGACCAGCCTGGCAACATGGCAAAACCCCATCTCTACCAAAAATATAAAAAATTAGCCAGGCATGGTGGTACACACCTAGTCCCAACTACTTGGGGGCACTGAGGCGGGAAGATCGCTTGAGCCTGGGAGGTTACAGTGAGCCAAGATCACGCCAGTGCACTCCAGCCTGGGTGACAAAGTGAGAGGCCCTGTCCCCCCAAAAAATAATGTTTTAAAGGAATAGTTAATGACATTCTAAAATGACCATGATATAATGGCAAGTGAAAAAAGCAGGATACGAAATGATAGTATATGATGGCGATTTTATTTTAAAAGTGTATGTATATATTTTTCATTCAAAGAAAAACTGGGAGGCTTCATACCTGTTAGTAATGATTATCTCTGGGTGGTAATATTACAGATTATTTTTATTTCCATCCCTATTATATTTTGTATTTCCCAGTTTTTCTATAAAGAACACGTATTACTTGTATAATCAGCAAAAATAAAAATGTTAACATAAAAAGAGGTCTGAAAGCAAGCCTCTTGTAGCCTTTATGCTTATAACACATCCATAGCAATACTTCATTTTTTAATCTAAGTGACTAATTCTTTTGTGGTGTTTGATCACAGAGGAGCCATCTTTTCAGTCATTCTTTGGGGATGAGTGGCAACATAGCTGTATAATCTCTAAGGACTTTGACTACAACAAAGTACCCTTTAGACCACAACCTCTTCTGCCCTTATGACTTGTAATAGTCTCTAGTCTTGGGACTATGGTCTCCTGAGGAGGAGGGATGGATACTTAATGCAAGGAGTCCACATATCTTTAGATGCATAAATGTTTTTCTCACTTGGTAAGTTCTAAAAGTACAGCTACTATTGTGGGTGAGAGTGGGTGAAGTGAGATTTTTTTTTTTTTTAGTCTTAAGAAGGGGCCCGTATATCTAAAACGTTGTGAACCACTGGAATAGAGTCTAAGAATGGTGGCTATTTAATTATCAGCATCATGAATAAAAGATGCTCAGTTCTGGCCCTTTGAATCAGGGTTTATGAGTCTTTGCCCCATACTAAAAGAGATCACCCTTATTATTTGCAAGCATCATCTTTGCCACCCATTCTCATCACATTTGTGTACATTCTCTAAACCGTCAATTGGTTTGTACATCTAAAATTTGTCTCCATATTTCTCCTTTACTAAGCGTAGCTCTTGACATCTAAAGCTGAATATGTCTCAAGCATAGCTTATTATGTAACACTGCCCTTATCCCCTACCACAGCAAATTTACTTTTTCTCCTGTCTTCCCTCTCTTTCTGTTGGCCACATTATCCACACAGCTCCCAAATTAGAAACCTTTGACTCCTTCTCCTTCCTTATTGTTCACATCCAATTGATCACCAAGCCCAATATATTTTACCTCTCCAATTTACCTCAGAGTCATGCTGTCTGCTTCATCCTCACTGCAGCTGCCTGCCTATATTATAACAACTTCTCAACAGGTTCTTCCTTTTGGAGAATCACTCCACAAGAAAGGCAGAGGGCTGTTTCTAAAATGCAAATCTTGGTCAGGTGCGGTGGCTCACGCCTGTAATCCCAGCACTTTGGGAGACCGAGGCGCGTGAATCCCCTGAGGTCAGGAGTTCAAGACCAGCCTGGCCAACATGATGAAACCCCATCTCTACTAAAAATACAAAAAATTAGCAGGGCGTGGTGGCGGGCACCTGTAATCCCAGCTACTCGGGAGGCTGAGGCAGGAGAATCACTTGAACCCAGGAAGCAGAGGTTGCAGTGGGCTGAGATCGCACCACTGTACTCCAGCCTGGGCAACAAGAGCAAAACTCCGTCTAAAAATAAATAAAATAAAAATGAAATAAAATGCAAATCTCATTATGTCACTCCCTGCTTAAAATCTTTAGTGCCTCCCCATTGTCTACAAGATAAAGCCTACAATCCTCTGCTTGTCATTCAAGGCATGGCCCAATCTGGCCACATCCTCATCTTCTGCTACTCACAACAAGGCACCTACCTTGTACTCTGGTCACTCCGAACACACCATACATTTTATTTTCATGTTTGTATTTTTTTTAACCTTCACTGCCTAATTTCTCTTTCATGACTGACCTCAAGCACATTTCCTTTAGGGAGACTTTTCTTGACATGACCAGATAGAACTCACCATTCCTTCATCAGTCTCTTCACTTCATCCCATAAACACTTCTATTATGACCTCAAATAACACTTTATGGCCATTATTTTCTCCACATTTGTCCTCTCTATATGTGAACTCCTCAGGGGAAGCCCCCGTGTCTTTTTCATCTCTGTGTCTCTTGAACTTCAGCCATACTGATCACACTGCCTTGTGAACATGTGAGGCCTTTTTATGACATCCACCTTTGCACAGGTGGATCTGTCTGCTGGGAATGCCATTCTCCTTTTCTCCTCTTCTCTGCACAAGCAAACATCTGCTCATCCTTTGAGACTCATCTCAAGTGTGGTCTTTCTGAAATCTGTGCACATTCTCAGAGTTAACTGTTCCCCACTCTGTGCTCCCTTCGTCTTTTGGTAAACCCTTGATTTTAGCATTTGCTATGAAAGCATTTTATTATAATTATCAGCATACATGACTGCCTCTCCTACCCATCTCCCCAACTCCACCCTTAGGTTTTGAGATCTCAGCAGTTATCTTTGTGTCTCTAGCACAAAGCACTGTAGGTAAACAACAAATACTTCCTTGATCAATAATTAAATAAAGTCTTTTATGGTACATGGTGGCCTGGGTAGGTCAGTAAGCTTTGAATACTTACTTGTATATCAGGTCAAGTCACCTCTGGGTAGCTGCTAGATTCATAGGCTTTTCTAGGTCTTGACTTGAAATCTCTCTGTATTGTTTTTCCAGGTGCTTAATGATCAATAGTTGGTGCACTGCCTATCCTCACCCCCCCATGAGCCTTGGTTTTTATGCAACCTATGGTCATGCAGGGATGCCCTTACACCCTTCCACGATGTCATGATTGGCAGGCAGCTGACCAGTTCCGTCATAGCAGCAGCCTCCGAAGTACCTGCCCCCAGCCTCAGGTAAGAGTCTGATTGTAAAAGAAAGACCTGTGGAGAAATAGTGGACACAGGATTTGTGTGTGCTTGGGGTACTCATGCTTCCTAAGGCTCAGGGGCACTCTCTGTATACATGCAAACCCTTGGATAGCACGAGGAATATATTGGGCCCATCCTTTATCACTCATGAGGTCTTTTATGGGGTGCATAGGGAAAGGAAGAGTGTGGGGCTGGGCAGGTCAGAGGGCCCACTGTGGCTGAGGGGGGCTGGTTCCTTGTTAACCTTCTAAGAGTTACAGATCCGGGAATGCCCTACAAGAGTATGATCCTTCAGAGCATGGTCCAGGACAAGGCAGGACCTTCCTTTGCCTTGGCTTCTCTGTGGCATGCCTTCCATATTCTGCAGGTGTCTCTCTCCTGCCATTGGCTTTTCCTCTCAAGTTCCTAGCCGTTTTCATAGCTTCTGGCTCAGCCTCACTTAAAGTCCCCTGAGCTTCATATCTGCCTCTCCTCTCTCTCTGCTCCCCTAGGAGTGCAATGGTGGTGGTGTGTGTGCCCGCCAGTGTATGTTGGTAGGCGGGTAGAGGATGCATGTGAGACAGGAGAGGGCAGCCCCCTTTCCTGACAATGAGGCAGGTCTAGGGAAAGTTGACTGGGAAAGGGAGATGCATAAGCATACTTTGGGTTGCCCTCTAATGCTTTGGGGTCCAGAAGCTATGGGGGTATGAGAAAGTGCTGTCTCCTGGAGCCTCACAAATGGGCTGCAGTGCTGAGTCACTGCTAGGGGGGCAGGCAGCAACTGAATATACAGGGAGGAGGAAGGGAGGAAGAAAGGAAGTGGAGATGGAGAATATGGATGCTGGGGAGCCCATTTGGGGGGCAGTAATGAAGGAAAGTCAATGTCTGGAGAGGCATCAGAGTCAGGTCCCCTTGAGCTATTTTCCCACATCCGGCCTGAAAGAAATTGCTGCCTCGAACATATTCTCAAAGCCAGGGTCAACGTAGACTCTCCCATTAACCTACCCCTTCCCCAGAGTGAGTCTTTCACAGGATCTAGGGATTGAGAAAACTGAGCTCTTCCAAAAGGCTTGCCCTATTCATTGTCTGCCCCCTCCAAGCACCACCATGTAGGCAGGGGGACCTGAGGGCTTCATTTTGTGATTGCTGATGGCATGGCTCAACTTCTCTCTTCTGCCACAATCCAGTGTCTCTTCCTTTCCTGCAGCCTTTTCCTCAAAGATTCAAGGGAGGGATAGAGAGCCCTGCAGGGAGTGGAGTGCAAGAAGCAAATATCCTACAAAAGCCAGAAGTAGAAAGCAACTGACAGGGAAAGGGAAGGAAACATTACTATTCATCATTTGCCTATTGTGTGTCAGGCTCTGCTAGATGTGACTTGAGAGTATACGGGGAAGTAGGAGAGGAAAAGCAGGGCAATGGTGAATAGTATGACAGCTGGGTGGGGGTTTAGGAAACCAGGAAGTCTGCAGGGAATGCAAAGCTAACATGTGTAGAACCCAGCTCATCATGGGTGCTCCTCTCAGAGCAAGGACAGCTTGGTTGTAGCTGGGTCACAAGGAGCTGTTTCTAACTCTGGGGCATTCCCAGTGCAGAGGACCCAGCACAAGTGAAGCTACGGCCCAGAGCTAGAGTCACTCCCTGCTCTTGGCCTGCCATCCCTTGCCATCCCCCAGCCACCCTGGTTGGCTCCACCTAAGAACCCCAGAAAGAGTCAGGCAGCTGTTCCAGCTATTCCTGTAGGTGGGCCTCAGCATGGAAACAATGTAGAACTGTTGGAAAGCCCAGAAGACTCTGTGGGAGATAAATGAGGATGGGAACAGAACCCTTTTTGGTAAAAACGATGTGTTTTCCCTCAGTGCTGAGGGGTGGGGGCCCAGCTTGGGAATGTTAACCTTTCTCCAGACAAGTCTGTTTGAAAAGGAGAAAAGTGGCCACTTCCAGGAGGGGCCCTTCCCCTCAGGCCAGTGGCTTATGGGAAAGGGCCTTCCTCCTGCCCCCATCCAGGGTAGCACAGGCGGGGCACAGGAGCCTCCCTGGCACCGGCTGCCTACATGGAACTGCTGGGTCCCAATGACCCCTTTCCCTCCCCTGTGAAGGTTCAACGGGATGCCCACAAAGCGCCAGTTCCCTTTGGCCTCAGGGTGCAGTGAGAGGTCTGATGGCTGTGGCTCTCCCTCCACTCCTCTCTGCTTCTCAAAGGCAGGGCAGAGCACCCCTCCATTTTCACAGTGGGCTCTGATGGATCTCCTGGCCTCTGCACTCACCCAAGGATAATCACATTCTGAGGGATTCTGCTGCCCATGCTTCGCAATGCTGCCATCCCATGGATTTGTCCCCACATATGCCACAAACCTTCCTTACTGTCTCTGAGGAGGCTTACTTAGTCGAAGACAAGGCTTATTTTCAAAGCCCATCCTCCAGTCATGTCTTGGGGAAATTGCTTACCAGAAGTTTGTCACCAAAGTGATCTGCCCGTATGCTCCACCTCAGGGGAGGGGTGGGCCTAGAGGCAGCGTGAGCCCTTTGTGTCTTCCATGGAAAAAGAAAATAAATCTACAGAAGCTACGCTCTGCATGCCCCTCCTCAACACCATGGAATGCCCAGTCCCACTCCCGCCACCCTTGCCAGCCTGAGAGGGCCATCGCAGCCCCCGGTGTGGCAGGCCCTCACAGTTGGGAGCATGCTGGAATTCCCCAGAGACAAAGCTCTGATTCACAAGCCAGGCCCTGACATAGCCGCCCCCTCCAGATTCCTGGGGGGTCAGTAAACAAACAGGGTGACAGCCCCCGACTCCTGACCTGACTCAGCCCCGCCTGCCTCACTGAGAGGGCTTGCTCAGAGCCTGTCAGGACTTCTGCCTGTCGGCCGCTCACCAGGCACTAGGTCTGGATTCCTGGTGAGGGATGAACATGGAGCTGCCAGATCCTGCAATGGACTCCCCAGGCAGCACAGGTAGGGTCAGCTCCTGGGCTGCAGGCTGGCTGAGTGCTGAGCTTTTCCCATAGCTTAATTCCTTACTCACTTCCCTTTCCCAGTGTGGCTATGAGCTATGGTTTTAATGGGATGATTGGTTTCCTAAATTGCCTGGAGAGTCTTGTGTGGGGAGGAAGTATGGTTTAGCGGTGAGGGAAGACTACAAGCATCTCAGCCACTGACTAGCAGGGCTGTTTTCTTTCCAAATGAAGGCAAGCATGTAGACAAGCTAGTAGGCAGGTGTGGGTCTCCCTAGTCTGGGGTAGAGCAGCCCAGGCTGATTTCCTCCTCCAATTCCCCTTCCCTCCACCTGCTTCTGCCCTCTGGCTGGGCAGTTCTGGCAGTGTGCTATAGGTAGCTACCTTCCTTAGGACTATTTGGGATAACCACCATTCTCCCAAACCTCACAATTCCCCCCATAGAGCCTTACCAGTGCCCAGGAGAGCAAGCGATAGACTATGTGCCTGGGGGCTCAAGACTAGACTTTGGCAGGCTCCATGACTTGTCCTCTTGGCCACCGACTCTGGTCAGAGTCCTTTGCTCATCTTTATGAGCAGAGCTCTTGAAAACTGTGTCCAGGCCTTCTGACTGTGGTGGGAAGTACGGGTGGAGAAGGGTGGTGGACACATCAAAGCCAAGGTTCATATGGGAAGTAAGACATCGACTGCTGATGGTTCTCTCTTGCCAGTCTACTCCCTCTATAAATCTTTACGGTGAAACTCCTCAGCTTGCTTTTCTAGAAGGTTGCGTAAACTGTAGGACCCTGAAGTATGAACCAACAGCTCACCTGGAATGCTATGGTTGCCCAGAAATTGGGCAATTCTGTGCAGCTTCTTACCTAATGCAGGTACTTCCAAGACCCCATTTGGACAGTGGTCTGGGCAAAATTTATAATAATGAGCAACAATACTAGTAGGCAGTAGTTCTATGTCACTGACATGTACCAAGAGAAGACCAGGCAATGAACAGGGCTACAGGGTCTTTCTTCATCTCAGTCCCTGAATACACACACACACACACACAGAACAGTGTTTCTGAACCGTGGCAGCAGCCCTTCTCTCCCCTTGCTCATATTTGTCTCATCCTTGGATTGGAGCAGACCAGGGTGTGGTACAATCCAAGGATCACAGGATGTTTGTGTTTCTGTCCAGGTTAGAGCTGTTGTCACCAGCCCTGCACCTCCTCAGGATGGTGCTGGGGTTCCCTGCCTAAGCCTAAAGCTGTTGAACGGGTCTGTTGGTGCCTCTGGACCCCTGGAACCACCAGCCATGAATCTGTGTTGGAATGAAATAAAAAAGAAGTCTCACAACCTCCGGTAAGAAACAGGTACCTTAGGGAATTGGCTTGGATGGTGTTGGGCTCCTTTTGCTGCTGCAGCCTGTCCTCCTTTCAGCCTGTGCCTCCCCCTTTCCTCAGCCCACCCACTTCTCCTCGCTTTCCTATGCTGGCTCTAGGGAAAGAGCCTTGCTTAGAAGTCAGGAGACTTGGATCTAAGCCTCAATTTTAAGTAGATGTGTCACCCTGAATAACTTGAGTTCTTGAAATGTTAGCTTCCATTTGTTTTTGTTTTTATATGGGGAAAAAAATGAGTGGAGGAATCATACCTGTTTTAACTACCTCATGGGAATTCAAATCAGATGTAGAAATGCTTTCTAAACTTAAAAGTGCCGATGTATAAATGAAGGGGATGATTGCTCCCTTCTCCTCTTCCTCTCATAGCTGTCCTACATCTTGGTAGGTTTCATCTGTTCACTTCCCCATCCTTTTACGTTCTATCCGTAAGTTTTCAGCCCACGTATTTCTCCCCAAACTAAAGGTAGCTCTATAAGAGCCTAAAGGCAATCTCTTTCTCAGTTGATCAGCTTTCCATGGCCGTCTGTTCATGCCTGCCACTTTTCTTCTCCACCCTCTATCATCAAAGTCCATGTTTCTGGCTTCTTGTGGGCTTTGGTAGGGGTGACGGATTGTGAATGTGTTGAAAGAATGCAAGCTTTGGAGTCAGATAAACCTGAGTTTAAATCATAGCTCTATCAGTGACTTAACTGTGTGACCTTTGGGAATCTATTTACCCTTTCTGGGCAATAGGAATGCCTACCTGATAAGGTTGTTGTAAGAATTAGTTGAAGCAATAATTTAGTTAAAGATCTTGGCCTAGGTGGTGGTGGTGGGGGTGGGGGTGGCAATGAATAAAGATAGTTATTATTGTCAGCCAAGGGGAATGGCTTGATGGCTACGCACATCCTTGGCCAGCCTCCAGCTTCCTACCATGGTTCATTTGGAGGGCAGCGGGGTGGAAGGGCAGACAGAGATAATTATATAGTACAGATTTTTCTGTTTCCAAATCTCAGACCTCTAGCCAGTGTTCCTTTGGGTCGCATGGGCTGTTATATTCGTATGCATCCTTGCACATGTGTATGACTAACTCAGCCACCCAACTTGCCCTTTCTACTTACTGAATCCTCTCTGCTCAGAAGGCAGTTCAGAACAGCCTCTACGGATGAGCAGTTTGGGGTGACTTGAATTCTACCAGAGCAAGAGGGGAACCAGACAGCTGTCACCTCTAATGCTCTTGCTCAGTTTCCTCCCCTTCCCAGCCTGACATTTGGCATGCAACTGAAGTAACTGAGATCCATAAAGTGACATTTTAAGCCATTCAAATTTGGGATGCCTCCACACCCATGGTTCTACCATGGTTTTAGTACTGTGCTCCATGTGGAGGTGCTTTGGGAACCTCTGTGGGTGAGTAAGAGGGAAGACCCCAGGCCTCCTCTCACTTGAACCAGAAAAGCTCCTCTTGAAATTGTTTTCTATATTAAGGTTCCACATAACTTAGTTTGGAAAAAAAATGTTTTGCCACTTAATAAGACTGAACATCACTGGATTTACCCATTGTGTGCAGCGCTCGCCTAGAGGCCTTCTCAGACCACAGTGGAAAGCTTCAGCTCCCTCTTCAAGAGATTATTGACTGGCTCAGCCAAAAGGATGAGGAGTTGTCAGCTCAGCTGCCCCTACAAGGAGATGTGGCCCTGGTGCAACAGGAGAAGGAGACACATGCGGTAGGTTAGAATCAGAGAAGCCGTGGTGTATAGCCTCTCAGCTGGGAGGAATCCCTTCTGCAATACCCTGACAGACACCCAGCTCTGCTTAGATACATAAATGAATAGGAGGCTGTATGCAGTCCTACTAGTCTGTGGCTAGCATGCCACAGCCTATGTCAAATATTTTCTTTCTACCCCCTCATCAAATTCTGGCCTCCCTTACAATATTGCCATGATTTTTAATGGGAACGTGGGGAAATGAACATAATATAATGTTAAGTGAAAAAAACAGGATACAAAACTAAGTGCAAATGGACCTGAATTGTATAAAAATGTAGTGTGATGTTTACATACATATAACAGCTTAGGAAGAAACTATATCAAAATGTTAACAATGGTTAACTCTAGGTAATAAAATTAGAGTTCTTAAATTTCTTCTTCACATATTTCTCAAATTTCTAGTATTTCTGTGATATATATTACTGCTGTAGTTAAAATACTTCTTAAAATGGCTACAGAATGAAATATAATACAGCAATAAAATAAACTATAACTGCATGCCACAGCATGGGTGAATCTTTTTTTTTTTTTTAATGGGTGAATCTTACAGACAGTATGTTGAGGGAAAAAAAGTCAGATACAAAAAGAGTACATACTGTATGATTCCACTTACACAAAGTTTAAAAATAGGCAAAACTAATCAGTGGTTTTACAAGTCAGGATCGTGGTCACCTTTGCGGGAGGGGAGGGAGGGAGGGGTGGGGTGTGAAGGTGAGATAATGACCAGTAGGGGCCATGGGGGATGCTGGTAGAATTCTGTTTCTTAATCTCAGTACTGGTTACATCAAGAGTACACTTTTAATTTGTGTACTCTGTATATATTTCAACCAAAAATTTAATTATAATTTTAATATAAATCCTGCCTATCTTGGTTTTGATTTCCTTAAGACCCTTACAGGAAGCTTCCTGAGTCTTCTGGAGAACCAAGATCCCCAGTTTTTCTCTACCCTGTGGCATAGACAGACAAATTTCATACAAAACAGACCTTCCAGTGTCAGAGTTATTTTTCTGCCTGTCAGGAGGATTGCTGTCTTTTTGTCCGGGTAGCCCAAAGATATCTGATAATGACAAAGAATCAAGTCGCACTGAGAAGAAGAAAGGTTGTCAATTTCAGGATGGAATGTAAAGTGATTGAAAGACTTTCCTTTCCTCTTGACCATATTGTTAAACTTTATAGGCCTTTATGGAAGAAGTCAAGTCTCGGGGCCCGTACATCTATTCTGTTTTGGAGTCAGCTCAGGCCTTCCTGTCCCAACACCCATTTGAGGAATTAGAGGAGCCTCATTCTGAGAGCAAAGGTAGGTGGTCTTCTGTTTTTCCCACTTCTTGAGCTATGTACTGCTGAACAGACACCCTCCTGCCTTCCTCAAACTCATTCTCTGATCCATTATCTAGGAGGATAGTTTCCCCCAGGAGTCCATTCAAAGCTGGGGAGAAGCAAGATTCCTACTGCTCGGAAAAAGCCAAGAGAATATACCCTGGGGCAGGGATCAACAGTTGTGTGGCCCAAAGCTGTATGTGACTCTTTGGAGCAGCATGTGTGGCCCTTTAATGAGATTTGGAAAAGAAAAAAAAAATACCACTCAAATGAATTGAATTGACTCAGTGAATAAAAGTACCAATATGTCCTTTAAAAACATAGTGGTAGCTGGGTGTAGTGGTTCACATCTGTAATCCCAGCTCTTTGGGAAGCTTGGGATCACTTGAGCCCAGGATTTTGAGACCAGCCTGGGCAACATAGTGAGACTCCCATCTCTACAAAAATTTTTAAAAAATTAGCTAGGTTTTGTGGTGTGTGCCTATAGTCCCAGCTACTTGAGAGGTTGAGGTGGGAGGATCATTTGAGCCCAGAAGTTTAAGGCTGCAATGAGCTATGATTGCTTCACTGCGTTCCAGCCTGGGCAACACAACAAGACCCTGACTCTGAAAATAAATAAAATAAAATAATAATAATTTTTAAAACTGCTTTATTCCAACATCGAGGGACATGCAAACAAACAAATAGTAAACCTTTATAAAATCTAAAAAGTTAGGTGATGATTGCCTTTGAAAGGAAAATTGACTATGACTCTGGGTTTTTTTTGGTTTTTGTCTTTGTTATTGACACAGCCTCTTGCTCTGTAACCCAGGCTAGAGCGCAGTGGTGTGATCATGGCTTACTGTAGCCTTGACCTCCCAGGCCCAAGGGATCCTCCTGCCTCAGCCTCCTGAGTAGCTGGGACTATATGCACACCCAGCTAATTTTTGTATTTTTTGTAGAGACCAGGTCTCGCCATGTTGGCCCGGCTGGTCTTGAACTGTTGGGCTTAACCGATCTGCCTTCCTTGGCCTCCCAAAGTGTTAGAATTATAGACATGAGCCACTGCGCCCAGCCAACTGTGACTGTTTGATACTGACTCCGATGACTTCTAGCTCCTTCCCTTGGTAGAGAGGGCCACTCTGGTCTCTCTACCAGAGATTCAAATAGGGCAGCAGGGTGGGATTCATAGTGACTAGATCTGAGTGGTGGTCCAGCAAGCCCTTTTCTCCAAAAAGAATCCTCAACGCTCTGAGATAGATTGTGAATAGCCTGAAAGACCCCTTCATGAATTGAGACCTTTGTCAATGCCATATGCTCTCTCAGTTTACTTCTGGCCCCTCAATGGGACGGCTAGTACTTAACTTGATGCCCAATGGGCCTCAGATAGGACAAGCTCTAGAGAGAGCAGCACAATTCTAGTTAGCCTAGGGCTCTGGGGCTTTGAATCTTCTGAGGAGAGATCTGAGGGAAGAAGAAATCTACAGATTAAGAGCCTAAGTGGAAAAGCTGGGACTTTATACCAACTCATCCTGGGCTGGGCCTCCATAAAATGCCTCCCTTTGGATGGAAGTGGGCAACAGAAACTAATGCAAAATCACATTCCATGGTCATATAAGTAGGGCTCTAGATGATTCGCCTCACTATACCTCTTAAAATGTCTTGCCTTTTCATTTCCTACTGTTTTAAAATCTGAGGAAATCCTTTATGATACAGTAAGTGGAAAAAAACGATATGGTCTCTTGGCTGTGGTGGTGGATATGTAAACCAACGCATGTGATAAAATCACATAGAACTAAACACACGTGTACACACACACGCACACACAAATGAATACAAGTAAAACTGGGGAACCTGTGACAAAATTGGCAGATTATGTCAATGTCGATATTCTGATTGTGATATTGTACTGTAGTTTTGCAAGATGTTATCATTTGGGGAAACTGGGTAAAGGGTACATGAAATCTCTGTGTTATTAGTTATATCTGCTTATGATTTAAAAATAAACAGCTTTTTAAAAAAATGTGAATGTATTAAAGAACTTAACCATGGAAAAATATGTATTTGTGTGTATATGAATATATGCACAAACATGCCCACATGTGCACACACACACGCACACACATTTTATAAAGGGCTGTCTCTGTCTCTTTCTCTGGGCTGACCCTGTCTGGTTGGCCCAACCTGGCTTCCTGCCTCTTCCTGCAGATACCTCCCCTAAACAGCGGATCCAGAATCTCAGCCGCTTTGTGTGGAAGCAGGCGACGGTGGCCAGTGAACTATGGGAGAAGCTGACAGCCCGCTGTGTGGACCAGCACCGTCACATTGAGCGCACTCTGGAGCAGCTCTTGGAGATCCAAGGGGCAATGGAGGAACTAAGCACTACTCTGACCCAAGCTGAGGGAGTCCGAACCACTTGGGAGCCCATTGGGGATCTCTTCATTGATTCACTCCCAGAGCACATCCAGGCTCTTAAGGTATGCAGCCCCCGTCCACTGGCTATAGTCCATCCTAAGACCTGACACTCTCCCCAGACCCTGACAGTGTTTCTACTGCTGAGACTCCGTTGTTGGCCTGGACTACAACTGAGCTGCTGTCAGTTTATGTGCTAGATTTGGGGTTGGTTTGGCTGGAGCCTCTTCTGTTTTTCTACTTTCTTCCCTTCTCCTGGTGTTTTCTGAGAGGAGAATAAGAGGATAAGGACAGTGGCCACTCACACCTTAGTCTGGTTGCCCTAATGGGCAAGCACTAGCTGTTTTATTGAAACCAAACCTGTAGGTGAAGAGGGAAGAGTAGAGATGAATGACTAATGGTTATCCTTTCCCACTCTGTCTGTGTGGGACTTGGGTCCTGGTTCTCCAGCTATTCAAAGAAGAATTCTCCCCCATGAAAGATGGAGTAAAGTTGGTGAATGATCTGGCCCACCAACTAGCCATTTCTGATGTGCACTTGTCAATGGAGAATTCCCAGGCCCTGGAACAGATCAACGTCCGATGGAAACAACTACAGGTAGAAGAGCAGCCTGGAGTGAACCATGGGGAGGTGCCTCCATATAACTAGGCTTGGGGGAAACTTCTTCAGGGGTATTGAAATGGGATCTGCATGGGAAAAGAGGAATGGAGAATGTGGGGCTAGGGAATGGGCTTTTCAACCTCTAAGCTGTAGGGAATGATTGAAATGAAGAGGATTCTTTCTGGATTTGGGCACTCAGGGTAGACAGGGACAGGGGAAGAGTGACTATGGCCTGGAATTAGGGATGCTCTGCTGTGACCCTTGGGAATTCTGGGGGATGGCTAAGAGTTGGGAGACAGTGGGAGAGGTTGGAACCAGAGAAAAACCAGCGTCTGAGGGAGCTCATAAAGATTCCTGGAGGCACCTGGGGATCCCACTCTAAATAGCTGCAATGAATCTACTGACCTCACCCTGTTCTTTCCATAGGCATCAGTTAGTGAGAGGCTTAAGCAGCTCCAGGATGCCCATCGGGACTTTGGGCCTGGGTCACAGCACTTTCTCTCCTGTACGTGAACCAAACTGGACTCCACTTAGCAGAACCTCAGCCATCTTCCTGGAGAGTCTATTGTTATCCCCTGGGGCCCTGGTGGGGGCCCAGTATACCTTGACATCTGAGAAGCAGTAAGGATAAAACAGTGTGGTATAGCGGTTAAAAAAACAGTCTGTTGGCCCAAACATAGTGGCTCACACCTGTAATCCCAGCACTTTGGGAGGCTGAGGCAGGCAGATCACCTGAGGTCAGGAGTTCAAGACCAGCCTGGTCAAGATGGCAAAACTCCATCTATTAAAAATACAAAAATTAGCTGGGCGTGGTGGTGGGCGCCTGTAATCCCAGCTACTCGGGAGGCTGAGGCAGGAGAATTGCTTGAACCTGGGAGGTAGAGGTTGCAGCCTGGGCAACAAGAGTGAAATTCCGTTTCAAAAAAAAAAAAAGTCTGAAATCAGAGAGGTCTGGGTCTGAGGCACAACATCTCAACCTATTTTTTGGAGCTGTGCAAGCTCCAAAAAATAGCTTACTCTTTCTGAGCCTCAATTTTCCCATCTTTAAAAAAAAGGAAAAAATGTTACCTGGCTCATCAGGTTATGGGAATTAATGACTTTATTTTTTCAATAATATTTATTGAGGGCCTTCTATGGCCCAGATACTGTTCTAGGCACTGGGGCTGAATCTATTAACAAAACACACAGAAATCCTTAGACAGCTTGTATTCTAGCTGGGGAAACCAGACCACAAACAAATAAGTAAAACATATCTAAGGTTACTTGGTGACAAGGGCTATGGGAAAAAATAAAACAGGGAAGGCATGGATAGGGAGTACTGGATTTAAGCAGGGAGGTGTTGTGATTTTGAACAGGGTGGTTAGCAGAGGTCTCACTGAGAAGGTGGCAATTGAGCAGAGGTGTAAAGGAGGTGAAGGGATGAACTGCGTGGATGATAGTTGAGGGAAGAACATACCAGGCAAAGGCAACAACGTATGCCACACCCTTAAGTAAGGGATATGCCTGAGTAACAGCAAGGAGAGCAGAGAGCAGAGGAGTAGGGTAGGCCGGAGCATGTAAGGTCTTATAGACGATGAGAGGAACTTCAGATTTTATTTTCAATACAATGGAGAACCACTGGCAGGGTTTGAGCAAAGGGATGGCATGATCTGCCTTATGTTTCAACTGAGTCAGGGTGTTGAGAAGAGACTACTGGGGAGCAAGAGTGGGAACAGGGAGGCGTGTTTGGAGGTACATTGCAATAATCCAGGTGAGGGATTGTAGTGGCCCAGACTGGGGGGCTGGTAGCAGTGGAAATGGTGAGAATATACAGAGAGGAAAATGAGATATGCACACAAAGCAAGGAGCATAATATCTGGCACATAGTAGGAGCTTAGTAAATGTTAACTGTGGTTAAAGTTGTTGCTATTATAATCATTGGCATACAGCTATACCTGCAGGCAGAGGATTCTTGTACCCAGCAAAACTGAAGTGAGTAGGTTGACCATGTAACCTGAGCCATTGCTGGAAGATCCAAAAGATAAAGACACAGGCAGAAAGAGGCATGAGTTTCCAGAGTTCCTCATGAGAGAGAGAGAGAAATGGACAGTACCATTCCCTTCTACAGTCCTACAGGACCGAGAAGCCTCACCTTCTAGGGGAAGGGCTTTGAGCCCTAAGAGGAAAAGGAGTCTGCTTCATATCCATAAGAGTAATCCAGCTGCCTGCAGCTGATGGGTAGGAATGGTAGTCTGTTCAGGGAGAAGATTGTCAGGGTGGCCAAGGCCAAGTATTCCTGTTCATGTCCTTGCCACATCTCTGGTATGTTGGGATATTGGTGACAACCTCTTCTTGCCTTGCCCAAACATCAGGGAGAGAAGCGTGTTAATTAGAAGTGTTTTCCCCACCCTCAGAGGCTGTTAAGAGCTGGCAATGAAATTCAGACATCCCCTTTTGGGCTTGACCACCTCTTTGGGAGGATAGAGCAAGGGAGTAGCTAGGGCCCTGAAGAGCATTAGTGGCCAGCTTTTTTTCTCTTTCTCTTCTCCTTTACCAGCCTCTGTCCAGGTTCCCTGGGAAAGAGCAATTTCACCCAATAAAGTTCCCTACTACATCAAGTGAGTGACCACCTGAATCAGAAGCGGGTCAGTTACCTGCCCACTCCCTCCCTCTCCTGTCTTTTTGCTACCTGTCCTTGTCACTCTGTTGGGATTCCTCCATCCAGTTCGGTTTTTCTCCTACTCATCTCAAGATCTCAAGATTCTACCTGGGTAAAGGTGAACCCTTGGGCTTTGGCATCTTGAGTTTACCCTTGAATCCTGCAGCTTTTTGCATCCAACCTGTCACTGAGTGGTGTGCACACCTATGTGTGAGGGTGGGTGGGTGGTATAGATGCTGGTGCTATTGATGCTTTTGTTTGTAGCCACCAGGCTCAGACCACATGCTGGGACCATCCCAAGATGACAGAGTTATACCAAACCCTAGGTAAGAATGTGAGCTTCCTGTGTAGGGCGGGCATATACACAGCTGCCTTTGTCCTATGATGTCCATCTACAGATGAATGGTTAAAGAAAATGTGGCATATCCATGTAATGGAATATTATTCAGCCTTTAGAAAGAAGGAAATACTGCTATTTGAAGCAACATGGTTGAATCTGGAGGACACTGTGCTAAGTGAAATAAGCCAGACACAAAAGGCAAATACTACATGATCTCATGTATACAAGGAATCTAAAATAGTCAAACTCATAGAAGCAGAGAGTAAAATGGTGGCTGCCAGTGGCTGAGGGGGAGGAGAATATGGGGAAATATTGGTCAAGAGTACAAAGAAGTTTCAATTATGCAAGATGGATAAGTCCTAGAGACCTACTGTGCAGCGTAGTACCTACACTGAACAATACTGGATTGCATCCTTAAAAACTGCTAAGAAGGTAGATCTTATGTTAAGTGTTCGTATAGAAAAAATAATAAAGAAAGTAGTTGGAACTTTTTGGAAGTGATGGATGTACTAATGGCATAGATTGTGGTAGTGAATTCATAGCTGTATACTTGTCTCCAAACTCATCAACTTGTAAACATTGAATCTGTACAGCTTTTTGTATGTCAACTATACCTCAATAAAGTAGTTTAGAAAAGAATAGAAGAGAATCACAGTCAATAAGCAGGTGGGAGAGGGAATGAGTGCCTCATCATTTCTCCAACAGCCTTCCTTCCTTTACCCTCTGTACCTTTCTCAGCTGGAGGCTCTACATTCCCCCCTGGACCATGTTATCAATGCATTAATGAATTATTCTTACAGATGCTTTGAAAGACTGTCCAGGCTGTGATGAGTGTGACTCTTGCATGCCTTATCTTTGTCTAACAGGAACTCATCTTTATGTTGCACATTTTATCCATGCTGATGCATGTTACTACAGTTCATTCTTTTTCACTACTGTAGAATATTCCATTGTATATAGCACAGTTTCTTTATCCATTCTGCTGTTGACAGACACGTGGGTCATTTCTTGTTTGAACCTAATAAGGGTGATACTGCTGAGGAGGTTCTAATATGTGTTTTCCAGTGCATGTGTGCAAGGATTTCTCTGGGGCATGTTTTTCAATCTGCAGGTCATAACATCATTTTGGTGTATTGTGATAAACATTTTAAAAAATTGAAATAAACCAGGAAATATTAACAGGCAACAGATCTTTAGCAAGAGTCATAGTTGATATTAATTTTGTTGTTTTCACTCTATCCATTCTAGTAAGGAATTGCTTCCTGAAATGTTTGTTTTAGTTATTTTTACATATATACATGTATGCTATAAAATGAATTTGATACTCTAAGTCTTGATCAAAAAGCATTTGCAAGTCACTGCTCTGGGATATATAGCTGGCTGGGTGGTAGGATATATGACTGTTCCATTTTACTAGGTAATACCAAGTTGTTTTCCAAGATGATTGTGTCAGTTCACACTTTCACTGGCAGTTCTCATTCATCCACATTCTTGTTACACTTGCTATTGTCAGACTTCTATTCGTTGCTAGTCTGGTGGGTGTAGAATGGTATCTTATTGTGGCTTTAACTTGAAATTTTCTGATCTGAGTGAGTCTCTCTCCATTCTTTGCAGCCGATCTGAACAACATTAAGTTCTCAGCTTATCGCACTGCCATGAAGCTCCGCAGAGTCCAGAAAGCCCTGCGCTGTACGTCTCCTGTTGCACTTCCGTATGGCGTTCACCACCCCTCTCTTGTTCCTCATTTGTCTGCTGTTTCTCATTTTCATCCCACCTGGGTCAGGGTTGTTGATTGGCTTGATGAAAACTCTCCAAAGCTTGCAATATGCTAGCTGTCAACTTCTGCTCTTCCTAATTCCCTTCTACTCTCGCTAAATTCCAGACGTGTTTCCAAATTAACCCCACTGTTAACCTCCTCCTTTACCCTTTTCCCATGTTCAGTATACATAACCAAGCAATTACTTTGTGACAGGAAGTACCCCAACCCATGATTTGCCATCTTGGGGTTATTGGATGTAGCAGCAAAACTGTTGAAGCAAGTATCAGTGGTTAGGGAACAGTGTGGCTGCAGATATAATATGCCTTCTGGCCTTTCTCAGAGACACAGTTCATTCAAGCTTCCTGGCTTAGACATGTCTAGGTAGGCTGAGCCAGCATTTGGGGGTAATTAAGATGTCCTCTTGGCCGGGCGTGGTGGCTCACGCCTATAATCCCAGCACTTTGGGAGGCCGAGGCGGATGAATCACGAGGTCAAGAGATCGAGACCATCCTGGTCAACATGGTGAAACCCCGTCTCTACTAAAACTACAAAAAATTAGCTGGGCATGGTGGCGCGTGCCTGTAGTCCCAGCTACTCAGGAGGCTGAGGCAGGAGAATTGCCTGAACCCAGGAGGCGGAGGTTGCGGTGAGCAGAGATCGCGCCATTGCACTCCAGCCTGGGTAACAAGAGCGAAACTTTATCTCAAAAAAAAAAAAAAAAAAAAAAAAAAAGATGTCCTCTTGATGTATGTCACATTTCCTCAGCCATACCTGAGCCTTCATTGCTGGTGTCTAGCTTCTCAGAACAAAATTCATAGACAAACCTATTTGCAGTTGAAACTCATGTAAAGGCAGAGAAACTTAATATGAGATTTGAACCCTGGGGAGTTAGTACAACATAGGAGATGAGTTTGCTCATGTCCCACCATCTTTTTGAAACTGATGTCAAAGAACATTGGGTATAAAAACATGTTGGGTTAATTTGAGGGACATTTTGCTGCCCTCTCCCTCCTTGGATGAGGGTCTTAGTACAGGACAAGCTTGTATCATATTTGCAAATGGTTGATCTGGAGATTGAATCAAATTTGGTGATGCTGGTGGCTTTATCTCTCTATTTAATCCCTGGGGTTGTACTTTTGGCTATATTTTTTTCCCTTCTTTCCTTCCCAGTGGACCTAGTAACTTTAACCACAGCCCTGGAAATCTTCAGCGAGCATGATCTGCAGGCCAGTGAGCACGTGATGGATGTGGTGGAGGTCATTCACTGCCTGACTGCTTTATATGAGCGGCTGGAGGAAGAAAGAGGCATCCTGGTCAATGTGCCACTCTGTGTGGATATGAGCCTCAATTGGCTCCTCAATGTTTTTGATAGGTAAGGGCTTTCATCTCTGGAAGCCTCTAGGATAAAATTCAATGAGATATCTCAAGTGGGCCTGGTGGAAAGGTGTTGCTTCCATAGTAGACTTGGACCCAGCTCAACTTGGGGCATTTTTGGAACAGGGCCCTGCTGGGATCAACTTTGTGAGGGAAATGATTGTCAAGATGTTAACCCTTTACATACATTCATGTTCTTACTCTCTTCTTTTAAACCTAGTGGTCGCAGCGGAAAGATGCGGGCATTGTCTTTTAAGACTGGCATTGCATGCTTGTGTGGCACAGAAGTGAAGGAAAAACTTCAGTGTGAGTATAACTCCAAAGTGTGGCATGGTGTTGGGTAGAGGGAGAGGTGTTGCAGGGAGGAGGAAGGGTGTAAGATAAGCAGATGGTACATCTTATGACTTAGCAGAGGGCTACTTGGGCTACCTTATGATGCTTCTTGGTTCATGCTATTGCAAAGAATATATGACAGTCAAAGGACAAAAGGGCCTAAGGCCTATTACTATTCCCAGTATTACTCCAGTGGGCTTCGTTCCTTCTGATATCATGGAAGTACTTAGTCAGGATCTATGTTAGCATCTTGAGGTACCCAGGGCCCTGATGTTCCAGTTTCATTTCCCTGTGGCCTATCAGGCTCAGCCCTCTTCCAGTCTGAAGATCAAGCCATGTTACTAGCAACTTCTTCTATACATGGGCAGGACACAGTAATCCCCATTATCTGGGAAGTGGACACTACATTTGTCTGTAGTTTTTCGCCTCTCTGGCTTATAGTACTTTTGCTTTCCGCTCTATCCTCCATCTTATGTTCAGCATTTTGAACTTTTTAGAAGCAGCATGATTCGTTTTTGAGTCTTAATGTGTGTTGACCACTCTGCTAAATGGGGTGAGTACTAAGTTAAATTAGACATGGTCCCTGCTTCCAAAGGTTTACAGTCCAGAGGAGGAGATGGAAGTATACAGAAAGCATTTTTTAGAAAGCACTGATGAGAATAATCCAAATGGCCAAGAATATATCCTATATCAGATCACAGAAGAGAGACAGATGACAGCAGTGTGGAAAAACTTTACAGGGAAGAGAACTTTTCCAAACATGTTTGTAGCTATGATATTATGTATTTCTCTCAGCATGTCTTTGTGATGGGATGAATAGTAATTATTTATCATCAATTTAAAAGTAAGGAAACTGGGCTGGGCATGGTGGCTCATGCCTGTAATCCCAGCACTTTGGGAAGCTGAGGTGGGAGGATCGCTTGAGCCTAGAAGTTCAAGAGCAGCTTAGACAACACAGTGAGACTCCATCTCTAGTTTTAAAAAGTAAGGAAACTGCAGCATAGAGAGCTTCATGACTTACCCATGATTCTACAACTAGTCAGTAATGGACCCAGAACTCGAACCTAGGCTCTCTGCCTTCTATTTCTGTGTATTTTCTAGGCCTTAGGCAACATATGAAGCAGACAGAGAATAACGTCTTGAGGAGGTTTGATAAGGCTGGATTGGGATGTGGAAGGGAACGGTCCTAGAAGGGCTTAAAAAACCCATATACAAAGATAAGTATCATAGTATATTGCACAACCACTTAGAGATGATTTTTAGATGATCAGATGTTTTGAATTATCTTCCCTTTTTGGATTATACATGCCCAATGTTTCCTTCCATTTGTGTGGACAATTGAGAGATTACTGCAGTGTCAGACCACATAAACAGGAGAGGTTATGACAACCTGACTGTGACTCATGTTCAGGTGCCCCTGAGCCCGTACCCTCATCCTGCTTCTGGAAGAATTTGTTTTCCAAACAGTATCATATCTGTGTCTAGCACTGCTTTTAACACACAGTGCACTTGATATATCTCTCTTTCTTTCTTTTTCTCTCTCTCACTCTCTCTCTCACTCACTCTTTCTCCCCCACCCCCTGATATTCTCTCTTTGTGTCTGCCTGGTTTTTCTCTCTGAACTCAGAGAATGCTGTTTTTAGAACTCGGGCTTCTAGAAGGTCAGGGATAGAACTCTGTGTAGTCCAGTTTCAAAAGTCATTAGCTCAGGCTGTGCTCTTTCCCTGTTTTTCTTTTCTGCCCTTTCTCCTCACACCATTCTCCGGCCATTCCTGTGTCGGGGTTGGCTATTCTTGACGGTGGGGCCAGCAGACCTCTTCAGCCAAGTGGCCAACTCAGGCAGCCAGTGTGACCAGCGCCATCTCGGTGTCTTGCTTCATGAGGCCATTCAGGTGCCCCGTCAGCTGGGTGAAGTGGCAGCCTTTGGGGGCAGCAACGTGGAGCCCAGTGTCCGTAGTTGCTTCCGTTTTGTGAGTATGGAACTGGGGAGTGGGGGAGGGAGGGGAGATTGCAGGTAGGGTGGGAAGAAGGGAAGGAGGACTACGAGCTAGGCTTTTGATCTGAAGTATGCAGATGCAAGGGATTTTGTTGGGATGGGACAATGGGGCAGAGAGTTTTCTGGGCTCTAGAATCTCAGTCCTGTTGGGGAGTGTGCCAGCTCAACTAGCACAGGGCAGAAGGTGAATATCTGTGGAGAACAAGTCAACCCAGCCCCTGCTGGTTCTGCTGCTCCTCTGAGGACTGCCATTCTAGGGATAAGACACTTTGGGCCTCAGTCATTCCCGTTGGTCTTCTTGTTTCCATAGAGCACTGGGAAGCCAGTCATTGAAGCATCCCAGTTCCTGGAGTGGGTCAACTTGGAGCCCCAGTCTATGGTGTGGCTGGCTGTTCTGCATCGGGTCACCATTGCTGAGCAAGTGAAGCATCAGACCAAGTGCTCTATCTGTAGGCAGTGCCCCATCAAGGGGTTCAGGTAGGGAAAACAATACCTGCTGGGATGATAATAATAAATATATCCTGTGACATATAACTCAGATATTATAAAATAAAGTATTACCTAATTATTATATCATTACAGCTAGTCTATTGTATATTATTATATACTGTTGTAATCCTTTCTATTGCAGAATATGTAATTATTTTTAAATGGGAAGTGAGGAAATATTTTGTTTTAGTTGTATTATAAAGTACTACAGACCTACAAAAATATATAGAAGATACTGTAAGAACACCTATGTACTAATAGTATGCCAGCAAATGTTTCACAACCTACTCTCTAAAAAGAAAAAAAGGAAACCTGATCTGTAGCGTTTGCTAGTTTCTGTGATGTATGTACTCCTACTGTGAATGACATCAGGCTATTTACAGGAGATCTCTGAGCAGAGTCAGAAAGAGATACTCAGCTGTACACCATTTATATAGTATGTCCACCATGTAGATACAATAGATGTAAGTAACCTCAAGATCATAAAGAATAGCAAAGTAATTAGGAAGTAATGAGTTTTGAGAATTTATTACCTTTTTTGTAATATAATTTATTTAATTGTGAGTTTATATAATTTAATTTTTAATAATGGCTAGATTTAACAACTGGCTTAGAAAACCCCTGAAATTTTAACAGCCAGCTGTTGTGAGCTGGTATGAGCTGGCTTCAGCACACCACAGTTTATACCCATGACCAACTTAAGGAATAAAACATTACTGCAATATGTTTGAGGTCTCCTTGATTATAGTCCCCTCCTTCCCCCACAAAGGTAACCACTATCCTGGATTTTTGTTTGTTTGTTTTTTTGAGACAGAGTTTCGCTCTTGTTGCCCAGGCTGGAGTGCAATGGTGTGATCTTGGCTCACCACAACCTCTGCCTCGCAGGTTCAAGCAATTCTCCTGCCTCAGCCTCCCAAGTAGCTGGGATTACAGGCATGTGACACCATGCCCAGATAATTTTGTACTTTTAGTAAAGACAGGGTTTCTCTATGTTGGTCAGGCTAGTCTCGAACTCCCGACCTCAGGTGATCCACCCGCCTCAGTCTCCCAAAGTGCTGGGATTACAGGCGTGAGCCACTGCACCCAGCCACTCTCCTGGATTTGACTTTCATCATAAAATACTGAACTTTTTACCTTTGCAAAGCACTAACGCACAACTCTCCCTATAATCACCCTGCTTTTCATAAGATGAGCAAATGAGGCACACAGCTAGTTAGTGGTAGATCTAGACTAGATATTATATTGTATGACTCCTCTAAGTCTAGGCATTTCACTGTCCTGCACTACAAGATCTGGGCAGTTCAGCCAGGCTTTGGAAGTAGATCTGAAGGGCTATTCTTTATTCTGCAATAATAGGTATATTATTATGAACAACCTTTGGAAAAATAACCTTTAGCCAACTTAGCCAAGACTGGTTAATTTCCTTCATACTGGAAGTGTAATTTCTCCAGGGTAGGTGATGGTCCCTAGGATCCCAGACCTGTTTGGGCCATCCTTGTTTAGAAGGCCATTTGATATAATGAGATATTTGACCCCACTTCCCTCCTGTCTCTGTTAAGCAAAGGTGGTGAGACAATGCTGTTTCCCACACTTCCTGGGAATCTGGCCTTGTGATTTCATAGAGATTTATGGTCTCTAGAATAAAGTTGTTCATCTGTTGAGAATTCAGCCACTGCTGTGTATACGAGGTTGGGCATGTTATGGCTCCATGCCTCATCCCCTTCTAGTGTGTGTGTATTTTGATGTTAGGGGGACAGCAGAGAGGTCACTGTGGTACATTGGATTCTCTTTCCTACTACATCTCTTCTCTCCCAAGATACCGGAGTCTGAAACAGTTCAACGTCGACATCTGCCAGACCTGCTTCTTGACAGGCAGAGCCAGCAAAGGCAATAAGCTGCACTACCCCATCATGGAGTATTATACGCCGGTATGAAGCCTCCAGGCTGGGTGGGAGGGGTAGGCAGCTCTCAGGCACTGGGTGTTGATCCACTTTGCCCAGCATTGGCTCATTGTTTTCTGCTCGCCCGTGAAGAGCATTCTCCAAGGAACTCTAGTGATTCACCAGTTTGGGGGAATCAGACCTCTCTATTCTTCCAGCAGAGCTTCTCCCTCACTGGGCCTGGGCACAGCTGGCCCAGGACACTCTCAGCCATTTAAAGGATACTCACTGTTTTACTGCAGAGAAAAGTCTCATGAAAAAAATAATAAATAAAAACAGAGAGAGCAAGGCAGTTCCAGCTGATTTGCCTTCCATCGGTCACTTGAGTTTTTCCTGGCTAATTTCCTATATTGCCACTGTACTGGGTCACTCAGTCTTTCCCTGATGCTTTGTCATTATTTCTACCCCTGCTTGTCAATACCAAAGCTTATGCTCAAATTAATTACTCAGTCCCTTGGAGGGAAAAAAGAAATGTATGTCCTTTACCTGGACCCCCAAACTGCAGTTGGTTTTCCCTGGTAACTCTGTCCTCCATAGCTGCTTTAGCCAGGTCAGTCAGCATCCCTGCACTCCAGCCACAGAGTTGCTCCTGTGCTGTGCTTAAGACCCACAGCTCCAGGCTTAGCTTCCAGCATTGACTCTGCTCCCTACTCATCTTTATCCTTTTCTGTCCCCGCGGTTTCTCTCAAAGCCCTGATCATATCCCCGGCTCCCACCACTGCTCTCTCTCCCCCATTCTCTCTCCTATTTTCAATCTGTTTCCCCACAATCCATCTGTCCAAGCTTTCATCTCTTCAAACCCTGTTGGCACAGAAACGTGAGGCCCAGTGGGAACAAGGACCATGCCCTTTACTTTTCATTTATTATCATCTTAAAAGAAAACATTAGAAAAGTCATACAGAGAAAACTGGCTGGATCTGGTAGACTGAGAATCCTCTGCCACCTGTTCATCCTCTACATCCTTAGAATTTATAGAACAGCTATTTTAAAAATTAACAAACATATGCTCATTATAAAATATTCAAATTATATGAAAGTGTTTAAAGTATAAGACAAAGTCTGGGTGCCTTGGCTCACACCTGTAATCCCAACACTTTGAGAGGCTAAGGTAGGGGGATTTCTTGAGCCCAGGAGTTCAAGACTGGCCTTAGTAACACAGTGAGACCCTTGTCTCTACAATTTTATTTATTTATTTATTTTTGCTTTAGAGGAACTGAAGCAATTTAAAAATATTTTTAAAGTGTAAAATGAAAGTCCTCCTCTCTCCTCACCCTGGCCCTCACACCTCCAGTTCAACTTCCCAGAGGCGATCAGTGTTCAGAGTTTGGCATATATCCTCCCAGACCTTCTTCTAGGAGCAGGATGTTGTGGGATGAGCAAGAGTAGATTACTTAGCATGCTGTCTTCTCTAGAAGAGCAGCCATACCTGCCCAGTATATCTGGAAGCATTAGGGTAAATTCCTCTGCCCTGTCTCCTCCTCAGACCACATCTAGTGAGAACATGAGGGACTTTGCCACAACGTTAAAGAACAAATTTCGCTCCAAGCATTATTTCAGCAAACACCCTCAGCGAGGTTATCTGCCTGTACAATCAGTGTTGGAGGCTGACTACAGCGAGACGTGAGTACCAGTGGCTGAGCAGTGGCTGCAGGCAGCCTAGCTGAGCCTGAACATATGCTGTGAAGGGGCTGAGTCCCAGGTGGGCTAGGAGAAGGTTCCAGGGTAAATTCCACTAGTGGTAAGGCAGTTCAGCGTGGGCCTGACCTGGACTCTGGCCTGAGAAGTAAACTGGAATCCATTCTTTGTATTTTGTTCCCATCAGCTTGTGCCCATGTCAATAATGTAGGGAGCAGGAGAGGGAGGAGGAAAGGGGCTGCCCAGTCTGTGGTCCTCTGAGTCTTTGCTGCTTTCTTCTAGGCCGGCTTCTTCCCCAATGTTGCCACACGCTGACACACACTCCCGAATTGAGCATTTTGCCAGCAGGTACCACCAGGTTTGCGGGAGGTGGGTGAGGGCTATTGTAGGAAGTCCGAGGGGAAAGGATCTTCAGTAGGGGCAAGGAGAATGGAGTCAGGGCCAGGGGATGTGCATAGTGGGGTATGCAGCAGCCAGCAAGGCCCCATACTTAGGGGTAGTCAGGGTAGCTCTCAAAGCCAATGATCCTATTGTGAGATTAGAGTCCTTGAGATGGAAGCAGGCCCCACATCCTTTTTCTCTCCTTGCCTCTGCTCTTTCTTTCTAGGCTTGCTGAGATGGAAAGTCAAAATTGCTCCTTCTTTAATGACAGCCTGTCCCCAGATGACAGCATGTGAGTTTCCACAGCTGCTTATTTGCCAGAAATAGCTCTCCTTGAGATCTCTGTGCCACTGTTTGGGAAGGGTATATCCTCCAGGGAATGGGGGTGTGTGGTGGTTAGAATCTTTAGCTCCCTAAGGAAGGAAGGCTGCTTTCTGGTGTTCAGTGAGAAATGCAGTCTTCCCTCTATCAATCGACCTAGGAAATTAGGGATGTACTAGCTCCATGCCATCTTTCCAAGTCCCTTCCTGTTGCAAGATCCTATTCTTCTATACACAACTCTGAGCAATGAAGAATATGCCATCCCTCATCTGAAGTTGCAGAAAGGGGCCTTTATCTTGTGCTCAAGATGCCAAAGCCCTATCTAGTGCTACAATAACCCTGGGAGACATCAGGGACTTAGCTGAAGTATAGCCAAGGGAACTCCCTGGTGTGACTGCCCAGAGAAGGGGCTTTGTATCTCTAGGGAGGTCCCCATCCTGCTCAGAAGTCCTAGGAGCTGCTGGCTACATGGATCAATCTGTCTGGACTGGGACTCAGATCCTTCTAGAGGAAGAGGAAACAAAGGAGGGCAGAGTAGGGGAATAGCACAGAAAGGGAAATGATTTGATCATTGTTTCCTGGGGGGCTGTAAGTAGAACCCAGAAACCCACATCCTGAAAACACTCTCTCAGTACCCCCAACCACAGCCTCTGCCTCCTTTGAATACTTTCATCCCACTCAAGCCTCAATATATGTCCTTTCCCTCTTGATGTGACTTAGAAGTGAATCTTCCAGCATGCATTTCCTGGGGCCTGACCCTAGAGCTGAGAACTTATGCCCTGAGCTGTTTGTCTGTTCAGCAACTGGCTGCCTACTCTGCTTTCCCCACACCCATGCAGAGACGAGGACCAGTACCTGCTGCGGCACTCCAGCCCCATCACAGACCGGGAGCCAGCCTTTGGACAGCAGGCTCCATGCAGCGTGGCCACAGAAAGCAAGGGGGAGCTGGAAAAGATCCTGGCCCACTTGGAAGATGAGAATCGGTGGGTATGATGATAGCAGAAATCTGTGTGGGTTCTTGAGGCAGACAGATTGAATTTAAGTCTTGGAACTTCTACATCCTAGCTGTCTGACCTTGAACAAGTTACTTAAATTCTGTAATCATCTATTTCCTCATCTGTAAAATGGGGATGATGATCATCAAACCTGCCTCCTAGAGTCACTTGGGAAGACCAAATGAGATCAGGCATATAATGTGTTTGACTCAGTGCCTGGCTTATATTATAGTAAGGATTCAGTAAACACTAGCTATTATAATTATTTGAATCCTTTTAATTTTTTTCTTTTGAGACAGAGTCTCAATCTGTTCCCTAGGCTGGAGTGCAGTGGCATGATCTTGGCCTACTATAATACTCCGGCTCCTGGGATCAAACAATTGTCATGCCTCAGCCTCCTGAGTAGCTGGGACTACAGGCATGCGCCACCATGCCTGCCTAATGTTTTTTGGTATTTTTAGTAGAGACGGGGTTTCACCATGTTGGCCAGGCTGGTCTCGAACTCCTGACCGCAAGTGATCCACCTGCCTTGGCCTCCCAAAATGCTGGGATTATAGGCATGAGCCACCGCGCCTGGCCTGAATCCAAAATTTAACCTGATTTTTTTCCAAGCACACAAGAGATGCAAGCAGAGAGAACGCATAGAGAAAACAGGAAAGAGTATGACATCTTCGTGCCCTCAGAGACCTTTCAGTGTTAGAAGTGGTAATAAATATGCATCATCTAGTAAAAGTATTCCAGAGGTTGCTGACACTACATAGAGCATTTGAGGTCTGGAAGAGGGAAGGTGAAGAATATTGCAGGGAAGACATGACTTTCCATAAAGTAGAGGTGGCAGCAGGAACCTAAGGAGGGTCCAAGCTACTTGTGGGGCATGAAGTAGAATTCATAGTACACCTTAGAGCAGTGCTTCGCAAACATTAGTGTATAAGATAATCACTTGGGAAGCTCAGTAAAATACAAATTTTAAGTCACAGGTCTGGGTGAGGCCTGAGTTTCTGCAATTTCTAACCACCTCCCAGCAGATGCTCATGCTGCTGTTCCGCAGACCACACCTGGAGTAGTAAGTCTTTAGAACAGTGCTACTCAGAGTGTGAAGTGCAGACCAGAGCCAGTTTGTGACTAGTTCGTCACCAGTCCAAGGCAAGATAAATAAAACAAACAGAGAATAAGCTTTTAGAAACTTTTACAGCAATTTGAATTGCTATGATATTCAAGTACAGAATTACTGGGCTCATCTCATTGAATAGGGTAGAGACCAGTTTGAGTGTTGCTGAACTTGTGTGATGAGTTGCACGTAGTGTGAGCTATGTACTAGTCATGTGCATCGGGGCCACATATTGGTCCACAGTAGAGTGAAAAAAAAACACCTGGATTTTTACCATGAATCATTCGAGAAACACTGCCTTTGAGCAGCAGCCTGCAGGCCCTAGGAAACACTGGACAGAGAGTGACTGTTGTGTTGCAAATAAAGAAAAAACAAACAAAACCAAAAGTGATGTCCCCAACAGCAGGCCACCTGTTTGGAACTTGTCTTTTTGATGACCCACCATGGGTGTTCAAAGTGGGCCAAAGAGGAGGGTTGTAGAGAGAGGAGGCAAGACAGGTGGTCTCTTGTTTATGTTACCTTTTCCCTTGGAATCTAAAACATCTAAAGATGGAGTAGGTGAATCAGTGGCCCTAATGCCACATTTATTTGCAGACTGTGTTTCTGCCTGATTTTAAGGTCAACTTAATCCCTAAAGCAGCACATCAAAGCCCTGAGACATTTATTAGGCAAAATGTCAACTTTCTCTGCTCTGAGGTCTCAGAATGGCAGAGTAAATGACTTATGCGCTGGAGAGGAAGTGGATGTGGCCATTGAAGCAAGAGCACAGCTGGGGCGGGGTTGGGGGCGGGGGTGGGACTGAAGTGGGGTGGGAGAGCACAGGGATTGCCCACACCTAGGCCTGAGGGGACATCTGAAACCTGGACAGTCAGAGCCCTGTTACAGGTATAGGCCTTGGTGTCTCTCTCCATGGCAGGATTCTCCAGGGAGAGCTGAGGCGCCTGAAATGGCAGCATGAGGAGGCTGCTGAGGCACCCACTCTGGCTGAGGGCTCCGCTGAGGCAGCACCAGACCACCGCAATGAGGAGCTTCTGGCTGAGGCCCGGATCCTTCGGCAACACAAGAGCCACCTGGAGACCCGGATGCAGATCCTCGAAGACCACAATAAGCAGCTAGAGTCCCAGCTGCAGCGCCTGAGGGAGCTGCTCCTGCAGGTGAGGCTGGAGACAGTAAAAGAGCCACGTCAGCTTCTGAGTCCAGGGGAAGGCTGGGGAGCTGAGCGATGTGGCAAAAAAAACACAAGAGAGAGCTCCTTGGCAGTGGCTCTCAAGTAGCTTCCTGAAGAGAACTGGGCCTGAGGCAGGTGGGGGGCGGGGGAAAGAAGAGACTGGTATGGTCACATCTCCAGCCAACTCTCTTCCACCTACCTTCCATGCCACCCTGTGTGTCACTCTCCAGCCACTGCGGGGCCTGGGGCAGAGAGAGGACTTCTGAGGGCTTATTTCTTCTCAACCTGTTGGAAACCCATACTGAAAGAACAGACTTCAAAAATCATCTAAAACATTGATTTTGCTAGTACGGTATTTGCTAGAAAGAAGCAGGTTTGGACAAGTTTAGCAAGAGAAATATTTGCGCTACCAAAGGATGTTTCTTGCTTTTTGCACCTTTCATCTCTGAGAGGCAGTGTGTATGCTGTGGTATAGCTCTGGAGTCAGGCAGCTCTGGGTTTGCATGTGGCTCTGCCAATTGACTATGGGGTGTTTGGACAGTTACTGAACCTCTCCAAGCCCCAGTTTCCTCATCTGTACAATGGGGATGGTACCAACTTCATAGAATTGTGGTGAACATAAAAGGAAATAATTCATTTATAGAATTTAACGTGATGCCAAGAATCTAGTACACACTTCATAAATATTACCTATTATTGTCATTATATGTAATGGAAAATACCACTCTGCTGCCTCTTCCGCATATCCTCCAAGGGAGGGCCTCTATGGATTCCTGGAGGTTTCTAACATATGCTATGTCATGAACCAAGGATCAGATGTGAAACTTTACATTTCCAGAGAGAATTGGGTTCCAAATAGCTTAATTATAGCTGAAATGACAGCAAGAGACCTTTAGGTATAATGCCTTTCTTGTAAGAACTGGGAGCATTTGACACATTGTTAAAAGAAGAACGCAATGGGTAATTGAATATTCTAAGAAGTTTCCCAAAAGTGGAAGCCACTGTTTTAGGTAATACTAAAAGCTTCTTAAAGTCTAAGGGCAAAGGGCTGGTATGAAGTCGCTCAGATCCCTTCTAAACTCAGGAGTCTGTCAAAGTAAGGTCAGGAAAGCAAAGCTGCTTAAGTCATGCCTTACCTTTTGCTAGCCACCCACCGAATCAGATGGCAGTGGCTCTGCAGGCTCGTCCCTAGCTTCCTCTCCACAGCAGTCAGAAGGCAGTCACCCCCGAGAGAAGGGACAGACTACTCCAGACACCGAGGCTGCAGGTGAGTTCCCCTGGCCCCTCCCAGCCCCTTTCTCCATGGCTTTGTCCTGCCCTCGATTTCCTGCCCAAGGCTTTGCGTGGCTGGGACTGGTTTCTCCTCTTGGCTTTGTGCTTAGGGTCAGGGATGACCAGTTTACTGACTGATTAATTAATTTGCTTATTCTACAAATAAATGTACGTTGAGCACAACCTATGTACTAGGCATTGTGCTGGGAAGATGCAAATGCTGTGGGCAGGTCTGCCCTTAAGCTGGCAGAATTCTATCCAGCCCCTTGGCCTCATAAAGGAGTCTTTAGTTCTCTTCTCAAATCTCTCTTTTTTAACCCAGATGATGTGGGGTCAAAGAGCCAGGATGTCAGCCTGTGCTTGGAGGACATCATGGAGAAGCTCCGTCATGCCTTCCCCAGTGTGCGAAGTTCTGATGTGACTGCCAACACCCTGCTGGCCTCTTGATGGAGCCAGATCTCCATCCTATAGTTCATAGTCCTCTCCTGGTTCCGGTCAAAGCCTTTCCTCAGCCTTCACCCAACCTTTCCAGTTTCCACTGGCACCACATTCCTCAACTAGTATTATTTGGGCTCTGGGCGGCAGCGGGGACCTGGTGGTATGTGAGGTGGGTTCAGATAGTGATGTGGGAAGGGGAGGCATGAGTCCTCTGACTCTAGAAATGTTCCCTTTAATCTTCAAGTTTGAGGTCAGTCATTTAAGTACCTTTCTGTTGCAGCCCAGGCAAATATCACTTGGTCATTAAGATGGGGAGCAAAGAAGCTGCCTTGCAGAGCTAAGCGGTACCCATTGGCCCCTCTCCCTTCTTCCTGGAATTACGGAGAGAGAGAAGCCTAATTATCCCAAGATTCCAGCATTATGAATCCACAGGAGTTACCCCTACTCTCTGGAGCAATTCATGGAGGCAAAAGGGTATCCCCAAGACACCTTCCGCACCCCAAGCACCCCTGAAAAAGTCTGGGCAGTGTGTGTTCTATTACTTCAGCTCCAGGACAGATCTCTAGCCATCCTAATGTTACCTAGGTATTGGTTTCTCTTCAAATATCATAATTTTCTTTAGTCTCAGTCCCTGACAGACCTTCTTTAAGGGGAGAACAGTTCATTCTGGTTCTTCCACATTATATTTGGAAGCATTATAGATATACTTGTGGGTTTAGATTTTTTTTTTTTTTTGCCCCACATCTTCCTATTTCTTAAAGGCCTCAGCATTTTGAGAGACCCACTGAGTTCCTCTGGAAACCCGGCTGAAGCCACCCTTTGCTCCTCTGAGTCTGTCCTCACAGACCTGGGGGCGCAGTGGCAGCTTGCTCAGCAAGGGAACCTTGCTCTCCTTGGGTGAGGAAGAGGAAGCCCACCTCTAGTCTGGAGTCGTATGACTGCTGCCCAATACCCTTCCAGGCTGTGACCCTTCTAGCTCTCAGGCTGAATCAGATGAGGTGGCTGATTGCCACCAACTAATCATAAGGCATTTGCAACTGGTCACCCTGAGTAGTGGTCCCTCCATAGGAGCCACAGGCCACAAATCAGGAAGCTGGCCATTTTCCACCCAGACAACAGCAAGGCCTTCCTGTGCCTAAAATTGTTCTTTCTAACTCTGGAAGGTGAATTCAATCCTCAAACTGAACTAACTCTTCTTAGGCAGCATTTACCATGATCTCTTTATCCAGAAACTGTTCAGAATAGATAGTAGGGGTGGGGGAGTGGGCTTGGGAATGTTGAAGTGATTCAGAGCCTACTTAGGCAGCTTTCTACCAAGAGGAGCTTTATAACCTAGAGCCCTGTAGTTGACTTCATTTGCCTAAGTTTACATACATACATATCTATTCTACATATGTACTGTACATCAGTGCTCTCCTGGCCTCACTCACACATTAAATTCTAATACCTCTTGACGTATTAATGTTCTGCCTTGCTCTTTGTTAGCCCCAGCCTCTGGTTGGAAAGACAGATGTGTCCTGGCTGCTCCCCTAGGATATCTCTCTCCATTGATGTTTGGGGTGGGCTGCCCTCAAGACCAAAGCAACAGAAACCCATGGCCACAGAGAATCTAACAGGAAGAGTCACAGTTCTCTTCACTTATTCCAAATCTTGTTCTCTTGAGACCTGGGCCTTGAGTGAATTTTCCTGGTATCTCCTAAATGGTTCAGGTGCCAAAATAGAGCAAATCCAAGCTCTGCCCACCCCATGCAGAAAAGGACAAATAGGCCTTTTTGAACCTTTGCCAGCTAAGACATAGAGAACATTCTCTGGCCCCTTCCAATTCTTACAGTCTGACTCGGGGCTTAAGAAAGCAACAGTTGCTACCACAATCAGGAGGGAGTGACGGTTGGAGTGTTGTATTGTAATCCAGCAGTGGGCCAGTGGGTAGAACCGCTAGGAACCTAGCTAGATCTGCCACAGGGGAGGCAGGGCAGTGGCTTGGGTCCAGAAGCTTAGGGTTGCCTCCTCTCCCACTAAGCCACAGGTTCAGGGTGTCAGACTTCACATCATAACATCTGCCTTAGTGTTCATGAGGTCTCTGGGCGGGATAACTGGGTATCTGGATAGATGGTGAGCAGGTGGTAGGTGGGCATCAATCACAGAACCTGGGCATCAGTCAGAGTGGGAGCATATTTGTAGGAGCCAAGATTGTGGGCAGGAATGTAGGACAGAGGGCTCAAGGACTTGGAGGCATATGCCTACCTAAGCTTTAGGAGGGCACATATTATGGAGCAATCTTTTACCAGGAAAGTCCTGGAAAATCCTTTCTGTTATCCCCACTCCACCTGAGAGCTCTTGGGCTGCTGAGGGCCTGTGGCAACTGCAGTGGGCCAGGCCTGGTAGAAAAGATGTAGATCTTGTTATGTAGGATTTGTGTTGTAGGTGGACCGAAGCAGCAGGTCAAGAGTTGAATTATCACTAAGGGGTTGCTGACACTTTGTGGTCCTGTGTTTACCTTAATGCCTAAGGTGAGTATATCATTCAAGGGTCCAGGGACAGTCAATGCAGCATGTGTGGGGCGTTTTCCCACTATAAGGTAAATGGATCCTTGGGTACTATGAATCCAACTTGGGGTTGGATTTAGCAAAATGTGTTGTATGTTGTTAGACATCTGTTGTGTATTCGTCTCCTAAGGGTATTGTGCATGGCACTGTGTAGTTTATAGCCCTACACTGGAAGGATGGTAAAGGGAGTTTCTAGGTTGATAGCCTGAAGAAAACCTTCTGACTGTGGGATTAGCATCAGTGATAAGGAATGTGAGCATTTGCTGGGGTTGTTGTCAGATAGTATCAGAGAATAGTTAGGACAGAGAGGTGATTTCTTCTTGACAGAATGTGATAGAGGCCAAAAAGCCATTAAGAAGATACCTCTGCTTCCAGTGACAGCAGAGTGGATTCACATTGATTGGGCATTGTTATGGAAGGCTGACTAGCTGGAGGACATCAGGCTGTGCTATGCTTCTCTAGGGAGGACATGTACCCTTCCCTCCTGATTAGAAAGGTTAGAATCAAGATTCTCAAGTGCCCATTTTCTTCAAGGCCCAAAGTTGAGAAATATTTCCCTAAAGAGAAATTTGTTTTTCTGGTGCTCCAGGAAATGGGTCGGCAGGACACAGAAATGAGAAACCCTGAGGCCAGGAAGAGGCCAATCCTAGGAGATGTTTTGCCTTCAGATTCATTTTAAGGAATACCTGTGCTTCCTGAGGTGTGTGCTTAAGATTTGGGCTCCATAGCCAGCATTTGATCTTGCATTCTCAATGGCAGAGTCATGGCCTCTGGCACCATTTCAAGGGCAAGAATCTCATCCAATTTCCCTTCACATAGGTTACAGATAAGCAAGAAAGTAGCTGCCTTAATTTGAACAGTTCTGGGAGAAAAACTGGGGGCCTTGTCCTAGGGCTGTGGAGACTTAGTTATTCAGCTGGGTGACTCCCATGGGAACAAGGAACACTTTAGCTACTTCTTATTCTTTTAACACCAATGGCTGTGGGAGAGGGAAAGACTCAAGGCCAGGGCTCAGCTCCCAGAGTCCATCGCCTCCCACAGCTGCTGCATTTGGGAGGGGGCCTGCTGAATGTCCTTGCTGTCCACTGGGGCAGTAGTGAGGCCTTACCGAAGTCTGCTGTACTGCTTGCTGGCTGTAAGAACTGGTCACAAGGATGAAAACTGGGGAAAGGATTTGGGGGAGGTGACAAGGATGGCATGGAAGTCTAGGGGACAAAGGGAACAGGGTTGGGAACAAATTGGTTAACTATCATTGCCACTCACTGTGGTGCTTTCCCCCTTTCCTTTGGATTCTGCTTTGAAAAGAATAAATTTGTACTTGTTTACTTCGGTTCCTCTGGTTATGCTCTCTGACTCTGATATTTCTTTTTTTTTTTTTTTGAGACAGAGTTTCGCTCTTGTTACCCAGGCTGGAGTGCAATGGTGCAATCTCGGCTCACCGCAACCTCCGCCTCCTGGGTTCAGGCAATTCTCCTGCCTCAGCCTCCTGAGTAGCTGGGACTACAGGCACGCACCACCATGCCCAGCTAATTTTTTTGTAGTTTATTAGTAGAGACAGGGTTTCACCATGTTGACCAGGATGGTCTCAATCTCTTGACCTCGTGATCCACCTGCCTCGGCCTCCCAAAGTGCTGGGATTACAGGCTTGAGCCACCGCGCCCGGCCTGACTCTGATATTTCATATCTTTCCCTTATTTAGGGGTGGGAAGAGAGGGTAGACCAAGAAGCCACAGAAGTACTAGAAAACATAAGGCCACCAGATGAATTCAACACCTATGGGACACAAAAAGACTCTCCCATTGGGCCCATCTGCCACTGTTACCTGGATCAGTCACCTCTCAATGCCCCTCCAACCCTTCCCAAATTAGCTAGTTAGCCCCTTATGAGGTGAGCTGTATATAGCAATGGTTTCTACATTTCATCCTCCTCAATCTGAGGATTTTTCACCACCCCAAAGCATTTTAAGAAAAGTCAGGACAATGCATTGAGTTTTCATAAAGTTTTATATATTCAGTTTAAAGGTCTACCTTTTATTCTGAGATTATGGATAAGTGTGTGTGTGCACACACACACGCACACACACATACACACATATATATATTTTGTCAATAAATAAAACCCTGTCAGTCCCTCTTTCCCACTCTATCACCCAGGCTAGAGTGCAGTTGCGCAATCTCGACTCACTGCAACCTCTGCCTCCCAGGTTCAAGCAATTCTCCTGCCTCAGCCTCTTACCAAACTATAACAACACTGCCCAGTATAAAATAATGCAAGCCACGTATTTAATTTTAAATTTTATAGCAGCCATATTACAAAAATAAAAATAGATTAATTTTAATAACCCAGTATATCCACAATATTACCCTTTCAACATGTAATCAGTATAAAACAATTATTAATGAGATTTAAAAATATATTTTTAACTAAGTTATGGAAATGTCAAGCAAGCTGACACATCCACTTGGGGAAAACAAAACAACAACGACAAACAAAAACAAGAAATCCAGATAGATCCAGACAGTTTATTCCTTATAGAGACAGCAAAGCAAGATCAACAATGGTATCAGCTCTCTGCATCCCTCGACCCACAGAACAATATAACAGGACAACAAAAGGGGCCAGATGACAGGCAACATGAATGGTAGGACCCCCTGGTACTGTGTAGCCAATGACACTGCAGATAAGCAGTTTTATGGCCTGCAGCTGTACCCTCTGGTGTGGGAAGCAGGCAGAAAGCCTATACTTTATTGGAATGAGGGAGGTAGGTAACAAGCTGCCTCATGGCAACCTCCCTCAAGATAGGGAGATGACTGAGAAACGTTCTTGTAGCAAATTCTCACAAGACTGCCTGTCTTTCCGTGTTCCAGGAGGATCACAGGGTGTTCTGCCAGGACCTGAGTCAGCCTGCAGTTGACCCTGGCCTGTGTGGCCTATGTGGATAGTAATAAGATCGTCAGGATGCAGGCATAGAGCAGTTCATTTATAGAAATCCAGTGTTTATAGGCCGGGCACGGTGGCTCATACCTGTAATAGCAGCACTTTGGGAGGCTGAGGCAAGTGGATCACCGAGATCAGGAGTTCGAGACCAGCCTGACCAACGTGGAGAAACTCCGTCTCTACTAAAACTACAAAAATTAGCTGAGTGCAGTGGCATGTGCCTGTAATCCCAGCTACTTGGGAGGCTGAGGCAGGAGAATCACTTGAACCTGGGTGGCAGAGGTTGCAGTGAGCCGAGATTGCACCACTGCACTCCAGCCTGGGCAACAGAGTGAGACTCCATCTCTAAATCAGTCAATCAATCAATCAATCAATCAATCCAGTGTTTGTTTCACACTTATTGCACTTCTCAACTCAGGCTAGCCATGTGGTACTCAAAAAACACATGTGCCTAGTGGATACCATATTGGATAGCCAAAGTCTGTAGCATACAGAAGTCAGAATTACTGGGCTATTAGCAAAGGAAAACTTTCTGAGGTGTCAGAGTCAATGTGTACATGTGTATGCTGGGGTGGGGTGGAAAGTCAGAACGGCACTAGCCTTGGGTGACTGGAGGGCAGTGGTGAAGCAGCCCCCCTGGGTTACATTGAGAAGTGGCAGCAGAGGAGACGGAGGGGTATTGCAAACACACTAGCTTGCCCTTGCTCCTTCCTGTTGTGTTGTCTTCCTTACCGCCCTGCCTCTCAGCAGAGCTCTGGCTGTTCTCAGGCTGCAGTATCAGAGGCTGCACGAGGGCTCTTCTACCTCTCTCACTCCTGGATGCCTGCTATGGCACATGTGCCACTCACTGGCCTGTCTCTCCAGCATGACCCCAGGGTACTTTCTATCAGTTCCCTGCCTGCCTTTATCTGGAAATGCCTATCTTCTTTTCAAACTCTTCCTCTTCTCCCACCTTCTACCTCTGACACTCAACTCCTTTCACCCATTCTTTCTCCTTATTCTCATCTTTTAAGTTATGGATTTCTGAAAAAAATTTTTTTTTAAATATCATCTTGGTTTTCAAGTGATGCTTGAACTTCTCTCCTAATCTGGGCTACATTTTGTTTGCCTTTAACATGCCTATCTCCCTTAGTCCTATTTTTCTCTTGCATTTTCTCCAGCATTCCTGCTGTCTCCATCCCAACTCCACAGGCCCTGCCCATACATGACCTCTCCTTTGCCCATGGCTTAACTTTAACTTGGAGTAGAAGCACTAAAATTGGCACAGAGAACTTAGGAGTGTATTTCCTAAAGCAGCTCTGACTTTGTCAATTGGGATCAGACCTGGGGCTAGCTAGGCTACTTCCAGAAAACCCTCGGATGCCTCTTGGTGATAAGCATTATCACCCATGATTTTCAGTGAGAAAACAGAGACACTAAGAAGTGTAGGGACTTGCCCAAGCCAAGTTCCAACCTTGTGTTTGTTCTACTACAGCATGGTAATTCAACCCAAATATTAGAGTTGCCATTTTTATCAGTTCTCTGTATACCTCCCCTCCATCTCATATTAACCATATGGCATTGGGATTTGGGGCAAGTCATCTCACGTTAATCATATAGCATTGGGATTTGATTTGCTTAGTTCATTGAGTCATCCTAAGAACTCTGGAAAGATGCCCCAAGACTGATAGCATCTTCTGCCATTTTCTAATCAGAGTGCTATGGTTTGAATATATCTCCCAAAATTCATATGTTAAGACATAATCTGTATCATGCTAGTATTAAGAGTTAGGGCTTTTAGGAGGTGATTAGGTAATGAGGGCTCCACCCTTATGAATGGAATTAGTGCCCTTTTAAAAGAGGCCTGAGGGAGTTTGTTTGCCCCGCTGCCATCGGAGGATGCACCCAGAAGATGGTATCTAGGAAGCAGACAGAGCCCTTACCAGATACCAAAGCTGCTGGCACCTTGATCTTAAACTTCCCAGCCTCCAGAGCTATGAGCAATAAATTTCTGTTGTTTATAATTTACCCAGTCCATGGTATTTTTGTTACAGCAGCCCAAATGAACTAAGGTATAGAGTTTATTGCTTATCTTTTTGTTTCCTTTTGGATATGAGTGCACTCATCATAGGGGATGGTTTAATGAATTGATGGCAATCCATTTAAAAGGAAAAATTTATTTATTGCTTAAAGAACATAGAGCATAAAACAGTAATAATATACCTGGGAAAAAAACAAACAAGATTGTTAAAGAAGTCTTCATATGCATTATGGCAGCTTGCTCTTCCTAACCTTAACTGATGGGGTTTAAGAGGGGAAGGCTCAGAATAAGGATAACGGTTCATAATTTCTTCATCTCTGCTCTTAGCTGGTGAATAACAACTAGCTCCAGTCCTAAAAACAACAGAACAAACATAAGAAGCAGCAATAAATCATCCTTGAGCAGGAATGAAACCCTGTTACCTGAACAGAGACATGACACAATCTAGTATTAACTGCTGCAAGGTAGGCACTTAAATTCACTGTGGCAGGTCCTAGTGCTTAGTAGAAATTACCTCATCTTTTCCTGTATGTTTTAGGAAATATTACAAACTAAAAGAAAAGCTAAAACATATGCAAACCAACCAGCTGTATGGCCTCTAGACTAGACTGCTTTTGGAAGCATGGCCGAATCATCTGCTGGTACCATAGCACAGAAGCAATAAAATTAATTCTCATTCAGTGTGGTGGTGCACACCAGTAGTCCCAGCTACTCAGGAGGCTGAGGTGGGAGGATCCCTTAAGCCCAGGAGTCTGACTTCAGCCTGGGCAACCTAAAAAGACCTCATTTCTAAATTAATAATAATAATTCCCAAATTGACAGAGAGTCTCAAGGCTGAATGGGATTTCAAAGTCTATTATTTTCTCTACTACCCTTTTCTACATGACTACAAACTTTGAGCATACTATAAGTAGCAAAAAAAGGTACAGATAAATATAACTGATTCAACATAAGGCAGCTGAAGGGACTCATTTCTAAATTAATAATTCCAAAATTGACAAAGAGAAAGTCTCATGGCCGAATGGGATCTCTACGTCTATTATTTTTTATACTGCCCTTTTCTACATGACTACAAACTTTCAGCATATTAAAAGTAGCAAAAAAGTTACAGATAAATATAACTGATTCAACATAAGGCAGCTGAAGGGACTCATTTCTAAATTAATAATAATAATTCCCAAGTTGATAAAGAGAAAGTCATGGCTGAATGGGATCTCTAAGTCTATCATTTTTTATATTGCTCTTTTCTACATGACTGCAAACCTTGAGCATATTAAAAGTAGCAAAAAAGGTACAGATAAATATAACTGATTCAACATAAGGCAGCTGAAGGGACAGAAACATGCACAGTTTCATCCAGTCTTCAGTTTGGATGGTGAATCCAAGGTTTGTGTGCCAGGCTAATGGCTCTCGTCACTTCTTCAGAAAACGCTGCAATTTTTCCTGTAGAGAAATGAGCTGTAGGGAGAGGCAGAAAGACATGAAATATTCATTTGAAATCTGAAGTCCCATTACTTGATCTAGAATTTATTTACATGAACCCAAAAGAACTATTGTTATTTGGCATTTTTGAGGTTATCTTAGTCTTGAATGTTCCAAAGAATACTGGCCACAGTCAAGAATGCATGCACAATGCTGTGGCCATGATGTTGTCCTTTATTATGCCCAATTTATGAAAGGCAGCTTTGTATTAGTCCATTTTTATGCTGCTGATAAAGACAAATCTGAGACTGGGAAGAAAAAGAGGTTTAATGGACTTAACAGTTCCACATGGCTGGGGAGGCCTCACAATCATGGTGGAAGGCAAGGAGGAGCAAGTCACATCTTACATGGATGGCAGCTGGCAAAGAGAGGAGAGTTTATGCAGGGAAACTCCCCTTTGTAAAACCATCAGATCTCATGAGACTTATTCACTATCATGAGAATAGCATGGGAAAGACCTGTTTCCATGATTCAATTACTTCCCACTAGATACCTCCCACAACACATGGGAATTAAAGATGAGATGTGGGTGGGGACACAGCCAAACCATATCAACCTTTAAAACTGAATATGCTTTTTCAAAAACCAGTATGTTCGCTGTTAAGAATCTGTGCTTCTGTAAAGAATACACAGAGGTCACAGCTCACTGTAGGGGCAAAGGAGATGGAATCTCTCTATAGCCATATCCTAAGAATCAGATGATAAAACAGTTGGGATACCCTCTTGTCCCAATGAACACCATGGGTTTTAGACAGTCTTACCAGCTGCTTCTTACCACATTATGAGACACTTAGAAACTGAGTCAGAGTCCTGACCAATCAGGAGCCTGATGATTCTTTCTAAGTCAGAAACCCTGAACATTTTGTGGTATAGGATTTAATTTTTTTAACTTGAAATGGTAAAGTGACCAATAACATTCAGCGATATATGCCATCTTTATGACAAAGGTTGTTTTTGAATATTATTCATTTCAGAACACCCCATACCAGAATGAATTTTTAGTCTGTGAACTGAAAGGACTATTATGAAACAATCCTATGCTGCACATCACCTACCAAGCCACAATAATTGCTATCCGCAGTAACTTAGAGGCTCTTCTCATTCAGTTGCTGAGTGGCCCCTGACTGACCACAATTACAACCACTGACTGCTCCAGTTCTTTCTCCTTTGCAGGCTCTTTCTCTTCCCACCACCCACTAAAGATAGGTTTTTCCTTAGGTTAAGACTTCTTGCTGAACAGTCAACCAGGCTAACTCAACTAGCCCCACAGCTTCAATGATCATTTCTGTGTATGGGCCTCTTTCCAATTTCTCATTTTCAAAAGCACTTCTCCACATATCCTTCCAAATCCACATTTTGTTATCCTAATTTCAGTTAACAGCACATCATTTCCCAGTTGCCCAGGCTTTGGATTCATCTTTGTTCCCCTTTTTGCCGTATAAATCCAATCAATTGTTAAGTTCTGTTTGCTTCTGCCACTTGCACTTTTGAAGCTCTAGGCTGTACCCACTCCAATTTCTCCTATATACTTTCTCCTATAAAAATCTTCCTGAGTTACGACCCAGGTAAAAAAGCTTTGAAGGCTCATTATGACCTGCACCAAAAATCTAAACTCTTCACTCTGGCATCACCACCTCTGAGCCAATGTGCCTGCTGCTTTCTCCTGGAATGCACTCCTTTCTCTATCTCCTCATTAAAACCCTACCTATATTTTAAGGCCCCAGTCAAACACCATCTTCTTCATGAAGCTTTCCTTAATATCCATGGACAGTCTCTCATTCCTTTAAGTCCCTACCCATCTTGTCAATTTCTCCCCAAGTGAAGGCAGGAACTACATCATAAGTATATCATAGCTCCCTGCAGAGCCTAGCTTAAAGTAGATACCCACTAAATCTAATTTGGGTAAATGAACTAACATTAAAGGACTCTGAGTAAATAAAGTTTACAGCTACATTTCTATGCTGCTCCTCAATACTAACTATAGTCATGTGTTACTTAACAAAGGCACTATGTTCTAAGAAATACATCCTTAGGCGATTTGTCATTATGCAAACATGATAGAGTATACTTAAACCAACCTAGATAGTATAGCTTACTACACACCTAGGCTACACAGTATAGTCTATCATTCCTAGGTTCCAAACCTGTAGAGCATGTTACTGCACTGAATACTGTAGGCAATTATAGCACAATGTTAAGTATTTGTGTATCTCAACATAGAAAAAGTAAATTAAAAATACAGTATAGAAAATTAAAAATGGGCCAGGTGCGGTGGCTCATGCCTGTAATCCCAGCACTTTGGGAGGCCGAGGCGGGCAGATCACAAGCTCAGGAGTTCGAGACCAGCCTGGTCAATACGGTGACACTCCATCTCTACTAAAAATACAAAAATTAGCCAGGCATGGTGGCAGGTGCCTATAGTCCCAGCTACTCGGGAGGCTGAGGCAGGAAAATCACTTGAAACCAGGAGGCGGAGGTTGCAGTGTGAGCCAAGATCGCCCCACTGCACTCTGGCCTGGTGACAGAGCGATACTCCATCTCAAAAAAAAAAAAAGAAAAAAAAATGGTAAGGAGCATGCAGGACTAGAAATTGCTCTGGGTGAGTCAGTGAGTGAGTGGTAAGTGAATGTGAAGGCCCAGGACATTACTGTGCACTACTGTAGACTATATAAACACTATACATTTAGGCTACACTAAATTTATTAAAAAATTAAGTAATTGTGCTATGTTATGATGGTGACAATGTCACCAGGTGACAGGAATTTCTTAGCTCCATTATGATCTTATGGGACCACTATCATATATGCAGTCTGTCATTGGCCAAAATGTTATCATACAGCACACAACTGTACTCACATTGATGAAAACAAAGATGTTTGGTGGGTACTAAAACAATCTTGGCATTAACTGTTCATCTGATTGTTTTAAAGCAGTACTTGGATAAGTGATTTGCTGAGAGGAAGGGACTATATAGAACATAAAACTTCCCCTGGCCTTGGGGGATGGGGATGGGGAGTAGTGCCTGTACTTTAAGGGCACCATGCTAAGCCCATCCTCATACCAACTCCAGTCTCTTTAAAATTGTAAACCTCAACAGTATAAGGTTAGAGTCAGCACACATTTTCTATACAGCTACTTGACCCTCATTTAGCCTATATTGCCTTCTTCTCTTTTCACTCTGTACACTCTCTTGTGGCTTTGAAAAAATATAGTTGGCATTCAAGTTAGAAATCTGGCATACATCCTTAATGATTCCTTCTCCTTCAACACCCAGTAATTGACCCAACTCCTCAATTCTACCTTTGAAATATATTCTATAATATATCAATGTTCATTGCAGCATTATTCATAATAGCCAAAAGTGAAAGCAACCCAAATGTCCATCAGCAGATGAATGAATAAACAAAATGCGGTATATTGATACAATGGAATATTAATCTTAAATGGAAAAAAGTACTGACACATGCCATAACATGGATGAACCCCAAAAATATGCTAAATGAGAGAAGCCCAACTCAAAAGACCATGTATTAAATTACTTCACTTGTATGAAATAACTAGAATAGGCAGTAGATTCGTAGAAAGTAGATGAGTAGTTGCCTAGTGCTGGGCAGGGGAGAGGTTCCAGGGAAATGGGGAGTCACTACTAATGGATACAAGGTTTCTCTTTCGAGTGATGAAACTATTCCAAAATTGACTGCGGTGATGGTTGTACAACTCTGAATATACCAACAGCCATTGAATTGTATAGTTTAAATGGGTGAATTGTGGGGTGGAGGATGGGGTTTGAGACAGTCTCACTCTGTCACCCAGGTTAGGGTGCAGTGGTGGGATCTCTGCTCACTGCAACCTCTGCCTTCCAGGCTCAAGTGATCCTCCCACCTCAGCCTTCTGAGTGGCTGGGACTACAGGCACACACCAACTCGCCTGGCCAATTTTTGTATGTTTTCTTGGAGAGACGGGGTTTCACCATGTTGCCCAGGCTGGTCTTGAACTCCTGGGCTGAAGCCATCTGCCCACTTTGGCCTCCCAAAGTGCTGGGATTACAGGTGTACACCACTGCACCCAGCCTAAATGGGTGAATTGTATGGTATGTGAGTTACATCTCAAGCAGTTATAAGAATATTTTTATTGCAGTTTAAAAATCTATATTCTTTCCATCTCCATTGCTACCACCTAGTCCAAGTTACCATCCTGTTATTAGAGTACCACAAAGCCTCCTAACCAACCTGTTTGCTTCTACTCTCACCTTCCAATCCATTCTCCAGATAATAATTAGAGTAATCTTTTAAAAGTTTAAAGTAGATGTGATTTTCCTGCCTAAAATTCTTCAATGGCTTCCCATTACACTTAAGGCCAAACCCATCCTCCTAATCATGGCCTGCAAGGAACCATACACTCTGGCCTCACCTACTTCTCCAACCATATGTTAAGCCATTCTCTTCCTTGCTTTAAATACTCCAAAGGTCCTCAAAGAGGCCAAGTTCTTTCCGAGCATGGGACCTTGCATATGCTCCACCTAAGAGGCTCTTCATCCCACTCTTTCCCTGAACTTAATCCTTCAGGTCTCAGCCTCAATAGCACCTCTTAGGAGAGGTCTATCATGATCCCCCATTAATTCAAGACTGTCTTTATTCTAAGAGCACCATTGACTTTTTTCCTTCATGGTACTTCTTCACAATCTGTACTTTTATATTAGCATAATTTGTTTATTGTCAATCTCCCCTGCTAGACGGGCTCCAAGAGGACAAATACAGCAGGTTCTTGAATGACATCATTTTGTTCAGTGTTGTTTTGTTACAATAAGCCCTCACTTAATGTCATCAATAGGTTCTTAGAAACTGCAACTTTAAGCAAAATGACATGCAAAAGGTCTCCAACTAACATTGTTAGTTCAATGTCGCTTTTTATAATGTTTTTTTTGTCTTTCTTTTTTTTTTTTTTTT